GCCATGACCTTCCGCGCATTAAAACACTGAAAAATAAATAATTTTGTCGATGGCCTGGACTCCCAATTTTTTTAAGGCTCCTTTCATTCAGTTTTCAGTGTGCCCTCGTCCCCACTGCGTAGTTTCCTCTGCGCAAAAGAAAATTTGGACGCCTCTGAAGGCGTTAACTGGCCATATGAGTCGTGTATGACGTCACGGTGTCGTCGACTGAGTGCTAAGTTCTTCGTTTAAGTTTGAGTTTGTGTATCAGATTTGTTGATAAAGGGAATAATGCATGTAATTTGATTCATTGATTCAACTTAAGACACCCTTTTCCTCGTAAGAATAAGTATGTTGCAGATACGATAATTTAAAACAAATCAAGTCATTATCATCGCTGTACATTATTTCATGACCGTCAGCGTGGCGCGGTCCGCCTAAAAACGTGCGCCATCACGGCACTGAGCGTCGTCAATCATCTGGATTGGTGTCCTGGTGTGTGTTAGCAGAAGGGATTGTGAGGAGCTGGTAAGTGTAGGTGAATCTGAGTGTGACATGTGGTGGTGAATAACGTGAGATGTGAATAGAAGGTGGCTGCACTCAGTGGAGGCATTCGGATAAGGCATACCAATTTTGTGTAGGTGCCTGTCCAACAATATGTGTTACGTGGCTGTGAAGCGGCATGGGACTGAACATATCCAGATTATAAACTTTTATTTATCATGCCCAAAGTGTGGCCAGTACAGGTTTGCTTCCATTTCAGTGAATTGAACATCATGTGAAGATGTTCAGTTCTCTGCAGTTCATAGTTGATTTCTAACAGCAGGTCTCGGTGTGGGTACAGCATCCTTGTGAAATTTATTGATTTTATATTTTGAAGACACTGGATATTGGCCAGATTTAACAATATCCTGTTTGGACAGCACCTGAGTAAAATTGCATTTAATGGTTGGTATGTTACAGGACTAAAATATATTAGAAGCATAGTACAAAATGCACTCTACCATTTCGGGACAAGAATAAGACATGCTGCCTCAAGCCAGCAGGCCAGCAAGGCGCGGGCAAAAGGATTTCAGGGTTAAAAAGGGACCGGTTTCTTGAAATAGAAATTCTGACCAGTGCCGAGGGATTTCGAGAGAATTGGCATTACCGACAAATTTGATTTAGCATGTGTAGAAAATACAGCAAGCGTGTCGGGCAAGGTATGTCAGTTGCGTTTTTTGGTGGGTAATGTTATTAACGGTGCAATGGAAAAACACTATCTTAAGACCTAGCCCGTGATGAATGTGTGCATTTCACGACGCAGAATATAATGTCCAGACAGGTTGCCATGGTAACCACATGAGCCGCCCTGTTCCGAGAAATCTGGACGCCAGGTCGCTGCCAGCGTGAACAGCCTAGCGCAAACTTCAAGCATTCCCGCAACAGCTAATCGAAATGGCTGGCCGGTAGACCAGAGGCGCTTTCAGAACTTCTTCAGACTGTCTCTGTGGCGTAGGTGCCCAGCCATGGGTTAGTTACTTCTGCTAAAGCCTTTCGCAAGGTCCAGCAGCCCTCCTCACCAAACTTGTCACAGCCAGGTAAGTCCTCTTGCAGACCCCAGCCCTGGAGGCGGCAGTGATGGACTCCCCAGCGTTGTCCGACCCTCCTCTTTGCCGCAATGGACTCGTCCGCCTGTCTCGCCGCGGCTCAAGTGCAGAGGCCAGCCGCCAGCGTTCCACCGCTTATAGTGGGCGGAGGGGGAGGGGAACTGTCTCGTCAGGCGTGAGAGCGTGTCTGGAGGCGCGGCAGACACTCTGTCGCCTGACAGCCGCCTACGCCCTCCCGGAACAGCCCCCGGCCTCTGAAGTATGGACGAATGGACGTAAGCTACGTCAAAGACGTTCGCGGGCGGGCGCAGGGCAGCTGTTAAAATGCGGCTGGGCTTCTCAGCTGCCGCAAGTCAGGTCCGCGAATACTCGTCGCCTTCATGGCCTCGGTACTGTGCTCGTTAGGATGCACAAGAGCACCCATCGCAGAGACTTGGCTCTCTTGGTATTGCCCCGGTATCGAACGACTGGCCCAAAGTGGCGGGAAAATGAAACGGGGTGAGGTGTTGTGGACACTGTCCCGTTGCCCCCCCCCCCCCCCTTCCGTTAATGCCAAGGTGACGTCTCCTTTCCACCGCTTCCTGTCAAAGAGGCCGGGAAATCGTATTCTTCGTAGCGCGCTATATGCTTTGCGGTAAACCTTGCATGGAGCTGAACAAGTCGGATGGGACGGAAAAATCAGTCTGCAAATGGTTTGGTCGTAACAAGCCTTTTGAATTCTTCCTGCTTTGTCTTAACGACAAGAAACGGAAGAGCGTAACGCTCAACATTCGAAGATATTGAATCAAGTATAAGATATCATAAAATAAGCCCACTCATAAGTATTGATATGCTTTTAACAGGAAAGACTTCTTTGGCCAACATCATTTATATATTTAGTAAATATGCTCCTTGCTTCATTCCGCATCCTCGCGACGCCCGCTTGACTGGGGTAGGCTGCATGCGCCAGCCACGAGTTGGCTGAGAGCCCCGTGAGAAGGGGAACCGTGGCCGGGTACCCAGGGTACGTGCCCGGGTTAAATCTGGGTGGTTGGCCCCCAGGCACATGCCAGCCTGCCCGACCGCAAACCACTTCCCTTCAGCCCGCACCCCTGAAATGATCATTTCTGGTCGAATGGACTCTAATCCAAACAACCAAATCGCGACTGGATATTGCACCCTTTTATTCACTGCCTTGCATCACCCTGCATCCTCGCAACGACCCGCTTGTGCGGGGCAGGCTGCACACGTCAGCCACGAGCGGGCCGAGAAGCCCCCTGAAGAGGCATACCGACTAGGCGGCCAGCGCACACCCTGCAAAGAGGTCCCTGGTGGTTGGCACCCCAGGCGTATATAGCCCCGACCAATCGTTATTAATCCTCCTTCATCCAGTAGCCCTGGACAGATCACTTCTGGTCGACAGAGCTATGATCCAAACAATCAAACAAGCAGATGGTGATTGGAAATTGCACATGCTGCCCAACATTCACTGAGGGCCAGTTGGCATCCGTTATCTTAAGAAATCGTGCTCACGAGCGCTGGATTTGAACCACTTGACGTTCGACGCTGGACTGATGTTTATTTTGGGTTTGAACGTTTCATGGCCAATAAGGTGGCAGGATTTAATTGACGTTTTTATGGTGACATGCATGTCTGAATGACCTTGAAGTTGTCTACATGAGATAGTCTGCACATCTTTGCAGGCGCATAGCTTAGAAACTAGAGGGTGTTTGTCTCATGATGGGCAGGGCTGTGAACTTTTCAAATTGGCAAGCTCAGTTCGGAACGTCATGCAAATATGAAATACTCCCTTTAAGGCCTTTTCTAGCACTGCGTTTTGATCTGGGGTAAATATGGGCGCCATATGACCAAAGTAGTCGGTGCGCCCCAAAGCCCAAATCATCATCACATCGATCTGGGGTGAATGACTGACCTGCCAACAATTGCTTAACACGTGTCCGGGTGGCCGGTTGAATACCATTCGCTAGGGTGTGGAGGAAGGTCAATTTGACCCCAGAAATCTGAATAATTAAGATGGCTAGAAACGCCAAATTCCCAAGATGGGTTGTTTGTATGTGAGTTCACTGGTGACTAAAGTCAAGGTGCATGTGTCATGACATTCAGGTGAAATAAAATCAAATGAGGTTAAAGTCCAGCTAGTCTCCAAATTTACCTCAAACCTCATGCAACCGGCATAAGCTTAGATACCTGTCCTAAGCAAAAGGTTACCGGTGTTGGTTTAAGGTAAGTTACTTCTTTTGGCTTGACAAGTTCATGGCGACCAAAATCCTACGAGATGGATTTTAGTTTGGCATTTGAATAGGCGTCAAGGGTTAAGCAAGGCAATATGTTCCTGAGAACACAATGTTCATCTTGGTCATTTTAGGTCAGTGAACTACCATCATCCTTAAGAAGCTCATGGAGCATGTCTGTTGCGATCCCTCTTCTCAGCAATATCAAAAAGAGCGCCAGAAACTGAATCATTCAGCAAGCTCTCGAGAAAAAAGCAAGCTGGCTCAGGCCATGGTCTGACTTTCATACCTTACCCTAGGCCAATGGAATTTGTTGATACTCAGGATGTAACTGTTTATTTACCTAAAAAGTTACGCCATAGATGTATGGCTTCATCCAGCATTCCGTTGTCGCATCAGACTGAATAATTTCCTGGAAATTGCCTTCGCTGACAGCCACGGTCTGACCTGCCATAGGTCAGCGACATTGTAAGAAGCATATATTTGTTGTACCGAGATATATGTTATCCATTTGCCTACAGCTACGCACAGTCTGGCACGACTAGGCCGCGTTGTTCGAATTTTTTCTAGAAAACCTACTGAGGTCAAATTAACCCTCACCCAAGCGCTTAAGCCCCAGTGAAAACGAAATTTGTGAGACATGGCATGCGCAGAATAACTCGATTTCAGAATTCTCGCCGAAGCGATATTATTTTTACGAAACCCACGTTGGCGGCACGCATTATTGACAAAAACGTCTGGTTTGTTATCATGTCGCTTTCACATCGACGTGGTGTCATTTTTTTCTTTGTTTCATGACATGAGGTTTCCGGCTGTTGGAAATGCGAACGCTTAATAAAGACCCATTTCTGTTGCAGCAAATATGGGTGAGAGCTTATTTCTGCGTCAGCCGAGGCGGATGGACTTCTTACCAGAATGCAGATGCTGTTCCCAGGAGATTGGCGATTTTACAACAAAGAAATGTCTCGAGCGCTTTAAATAGTGTTGTGGTACCAAAACCGATTACAGCTGGCACTCGCATGTACAGACGAACGATATTCACCGGCCAATAGTCTTACATAATGTATGTACCCTGGACATGACATGCGGCAACATTTGCATAGGCTCAGAATGTGAACAGTTCTTAAGCATTTGTGCAGATATGGTAAAGCTTCTCAAAAGCAAATTCCGAAATATGACTCCATGTATTTATCACCCCTAGGGAACAGCAAACCGTTTCGTCGAAAAGCTGCCAACAGCCGGAATACAAATGCGAGACTTGCCAAGAAAGCTGCCAGACTCCGCGATCCTACTGTGATCTGGGAGAAGCGCATTGAGATTCATGAGATGCGAATAAGTGTCCGGCTGTGCCTGCAGTGTTCTGGAAACCAGCCAAACCTTGAACGGAACATAACGTTATCCAATCCGTAACGTTTCACAGATGTCTGCCTGAGATCGCCACGATGAGTGTTGCCGGAACAGAATCGCTGTGCTGTGTGCTGCATCAATAGGCAGTTCCGTGACCGGACGTGCCACGCAGGTGTAAGTGACCTATCGGTATTTCGGTCATCATGGAAACGTGAGCATGTGGTTTGGTTCTCTCCAGACTGATAACGAAGCTCTCTTGTCTAATTATATTTCGGTCGTCATGGAAACGCGAGCATGTGGTTTGGTTCTCTCCAGACTGATAACGAAGCTCTCTTGTCTAGAGCAGGTTTCTCGACAAGCTGCTTTACACGTGAATGCGAATACGCTGAATCGGAAGCTGTTCTTGAGTGGGTGAACGCAGCGCTGGAATATCGTCTGAACGGACTGTCAACTCCACGCGCACGTGAAGTGAAGATCATTTGTTTGAAGCCCAACCACGAAATTTTCGTCGTGGTGGTTTCGTCGTTGCTTTTAATTTTGTGTTGGCACTCGTCTCACTATTAACATTTAAATGGGGCGTTTTCGCCGCGAACGTTCTAAACCATCATAAAAGCACCTCATCAAATATGCATGCGGCATTGTTGAGTCGCGTCAAAACATGATACGTAGGAACCTCTCCAGCAGATTTACAATGCATGCAGACTTTGCTTCACATCAGCGTGGAAAGCCCTCATGTTCTCTGTGAAAGCTTGCGTTTGCGTAAGGTACCAACTGTCTGCAAGAAGAGTGTGCAATTGGCGGAAGAATCCAGTGCAAAGTAACATATAAGTTGATCAATTACTGCTTCTTTCAAGGAACGCAATCCGCGTCACGACCACAGGCACGGGAGTCGCGGATAGGAAGCAGTTATGCCAAGGCCTTTCCAATTTTCAGGGTTCTTAATGAAGCAGGCTCGGTTACAATTCGCCGTTGTGGAAGAGGCTGGTAGCGTGACCAACGCTTTGGTCCACGTTGGAAGATGCTATTAACAAGAAAGACCTTGAATCTTCTACCTTGTAAATGTAACTGTAAAAATATTGTAACCTAGTGTGCGCTGGCAGTTTTCATGTTGAGAGTTGTTGCCATTCAGCATATCAGGAGGCAGTGGTTTAACCACGTTATAAAAAACATTCGTTATTTTGTGGGAACTCGGCGTTTCGGCGAAGTGCTCATGTTCAGATCTCTTCGAAACAGGCTATCAACATCATCCCGATATATATATATATATATATATATATATATATATATACATATATATATATATATATATATATACATATATATATATATATATATATATATCAGTCTGGAACACATCGCTCGAGATGTGCTGATGAAATTATTCGATGCCCTTTTGGTGGTGCAACCATGTGGAAGATATACCGCCAAACTGTAGTCTAATCGTTTCATCCCGCAATATACTTGAGAACGTCCCAATAACTCAGCTGGTTTGAGCGCTTGCCTTCCGACTCACAGACCTTTGGCGTGGTGGGTTTGAGTCGCTTCAGGCGTTTGCTATTTGTTTTCCACTGGGATAGCTCGCGGCCGGCGGCAGCGGTGTCGCGAATGGTCATGTGACGTCAGAGGCAGGATGGACCGTGGCGAGCATTGCAACACGTTGAGCTTTCGCTGCAAAGTTTTGCCGCCGACTCAGAATTGTATGATGGGGTCAGGGCCCGCAAAGCAGGCACTGCTCGGCATGGGCGCTCGTTTCAGAAATGCATTCAAGCAAAAGGTTTGGACTAAACCTTTAAAAAGTTTCATGACCTCACTAATCTTACACCATTGCAATTTCATACACCACGTGACTTCTGAGAAAGTGGTCCTTATGTCGCAAATGGGGAGAACGATGCATAAATCGTCTGATCCATAGTTGTGATAACACGCTGAAGTGATAAAGCATGGTAAAGGCATGCTAAAATTTCTTTGTTTTCCGTGAGAACGGATACATGGAACATTAAGTGTATCCATTCTGTGTCGCAGGTTTTCAAGTTAGCGTTGAATCTGGTTTGCGAAGAAGTTGCATAAAAGTGGAATAGACCAATTGTTTCTATGTGTCTCTTTGCGTTGACCATGATACCGTTTATACAGGGTGGCCCAGATGAAAGTTAACCAGCGTTTGCAGCAACAAGTGTGTTTCCCGCACAATGAAGACTGCGATGATGTTAAAACGACCATTAAATGACCAAACGTGATACAAAACAAAAGTAGTCATCATCAGGATCTCGCATTCGTCAAAACATGACTATACAAAAGATGCCTCGTGGGATGAGAACGACTATCTTGTCAACATCGCCTCAGAACGGTACATGGCTACCGCTCGTATACCCTTCTGGGCGGTATACGAGCGGTATACGAGCGGTAACGAATCTCGTATACTCGTACACCCTTCTGGGCGGCCCTGGGACGACTTGACAGCATCGATCGGAACAAGAGTGGTTCCAGCAGGGCGGGGAGATTCCTGCACCGTGACGAATGCACCTGCCACTGCTGACTGAAGCATGGGTTTATTTTTATCTGGGCCTCTCCGTATTTTTAAAAGCTGCCGCGTGTTGCAGTGAATTGCTCTCCATTTCATTCTGAGTGGTATTATGTGACAAACTCGTCAAATATCTGTACATTGGCCTGTCATATGAAGGAATTGATTTAACGGAAACTTTACGTACCAACAGGATAGTGCTTGTCACGCATAAGCATTATGCTAATAATGATGCGTCTGGGCGCCTACTGTACCAAAACTTACGATAATTGTTCTGCGTTTCTTTCACCTAGTATTGCCTTTTGGCTCACATGCATTGAAATGGCTAGGAACAGCATTGGGGGTGAAGTTCCCTTTTCAGTTGAGGCCCTCTAGGCACAGCTCCCCCCCCCCCCCCCCCCCCCCCCCACTTCCCCCAACATCGGGAAAAGTGGGTCAAAGATGGGAAGGTAGCTTTTTCTGTGTGTATTTTGGGGCATATTTTATTTTTTCCCTGTTCAGTCTCCAGCCAATTCAGCGAAACTACGCCCCTGTCTCAAAGCCGGCATTTGGGCGGGGGGCGGGGGGCTCAGAACCACCCCTATGAAAATATGCAACATGACACCCCTGGCTCGGCAACCAGCGCTGCCTGTGTACAGTTTAATTTCTTCGTTGGGTTTGCAAAATCTTTGAGCAAACCGTGATGACTGAAGGCAGGATTGGCCGATTTATGCACTTCGCTTGAACTCTGTTCGTTGGAATCAACGCCGAAGAATTCATTCGGGTGAGCAGGTTTATAAAGAACGTGGGGGCGGGTGGGGGTTGTCTAAACATTGCGTTACGCATTTTGGACCATTTTTAACTCCGCTGGCCACACGATGGTTACCCTTCTCCCTCCCCTCCTCCTACTTACGTCGTGTCCAGCTACTACTTCTACGACGAATCAATAAGTTAACGTCCTTTTGGCTCCCAATTGAGCAAGAGATGCTGAACATAGACGGTTGTGTTGGTTGCCGCCAGACAAAGGCAACGGTATCGAGTTTCGAGGTTTTAGAAAATAAAAGATGGGCGTGACTTTTGTGGGAGCATGCTGTTCACTTGCTCCCGCTATTTTGTGGGTCATAACTTGCTGACCACTTTGCAGCCTGCCCCGCTGGCTGGACCCACATTTTCCACACTATCCGGCCAAGCATATTGCAAAGCTGCAAAGTAGGCAGGAGAATCTGGCCCACCGAAAATCTGGAGCAGCTGGAAAGACCCTTCCACCAAACATAAAAGCACCCCACTCGAAAATTATTTTAACACAACTATGACTTACGATCAAACCTGAGCGTGATGTTTCGCTACCCCCCCCCCCCTCCCCTCCCCCGCCACCCTAGCGTTCCGGTCCATCGAAACCCCCTTCCAACTCCATGCGTAACGAAGATATGGACGGACTCAAAAGCCTTGAACGCGGCCTTTTTGACTTGTTAGTTTTTTGTCCGTCTTTTTTTAACAGAACGATAATTTATGTAAGCTGCCATATTCAAGGGGCAGTATGTGTCGGCGAGCACGACGCTTTATTTTTTTGTTCTGGCGCACTTCAGTAAGCGGATTTTTCGCGTTTCCCGGTCCTGCAGAGGACTAGCGAAGAGGCGGCTGCAGGGCGTTTGGCACGTGAGTGAGGCCGGCAACCAGGGCAGGTGGGGTTACTGGGAGATTTTACTTGTGAAGGAAGTAAAGATGTCGTAATGGTGTCGTTTCCAAAGGTGGAGTCTCACGTACTGGTATATTGTAGCCTGTAGACATTACCACATTTGTGAAAGGAATGGGTGGGAGTGTTGAAAGGCGGCCGCATTCAACCTTTGCAGTGCTGGTTGAAACCCTTCCAGGCTATTAACGAGCCATATTTAAACGCGTGGTTATTCCAAATATAGCCCACTGACCATTGGTAAAATGCGGCAATTTTGGTATGTATACATCATAAATGTTCAATGCTCAGCTCTGGTGCCAGTGTGCACCAATTTTAATGCATATAGGGCCACCGTTCCAAGTAGTGTGATGCTACAAAGGTAATTCTGGGCAGGAAATCTGGAAGCATTTGCTCACTGAAAAATGGTGTGAAAATTTAGTGTTGTTTGGTGTGCCCTGAGCGTCATTCATAAGCAGTGTTCACCGCATCAATATTGAATAGGAGTCCAGTGCAGTGGATGTTTTTTTCAGATTGGTTAATAAGTTGCTAGACATGCTCTTCATGTGAATGTTGGTTCATATGTAGGCGTGCAGTTCTAGCCCTGAGAGTTTCTTAGTTATATGTCCGCAACAAACACACAAGTCCCCGTCATGGTTGACAGTCTGTCACAGTTGGCAATGATGCCAGCAAATGGCAGTGGAGGCTGATTTACAAACTCATAGGACCAGAAGCTCAGAACCAAAATCCTAGGATGCTGCTAGTACAGTGGTTAAGGTGTACATCTGTGTAACCAGGGGTACAAGGTTTGATTCCCTGTGGTGTCCATTCTTCCAGTCAGGGTGGGTGGCTGGTGAAGCTGTATGGCCCACATAGCCCTGCAGCTGATCATGTTGTCAGTGCCAGCTGAGCAGCTGAGCATGTTGTCAATGCCATCTGAGCAGCTGGATGTGTTGTCAGTGGCAGTGGCAATCTTAAAAGTACATATTGAAGTCATGCAGATGGTGTGTTAAGAAAATGCACCATTTCCAGTTATCATATGGCCCATCTTTTACTCATTGGATGTATAGTTCACTGGGATGGCCTTGATAATACTTAGTTGCTAATACAGGTTCAGGTCTTCATCCTGTTCTTACCACCATGAAGTAATTCAGAACAGTATTTGAAGTCAAAGCATCCCAGGATATTTGCCACTGGTTGTAAATGAGCCACCTTTGGTACATAATATTGGTGTAACTCAGATGCCATACAACAAATGTGTTGGGTCCTAGCTAATTTGATGTGGCCATCATGCAGAATTGTGCTAGGAACTGTAATTATTACCCTAACTGTAACTGTAACTCATTGTCTGTCCCATGGGGGTAATCAGCTTCTCACCAGCTGTTAATCCCAGCAAGCTCTGAAAA